AAGTTTGATTACCCTGTAAAGTTATTTTCCATCCTGAGTTTACAGAGATGATGTTGACCTTTTTCTTTAATTAAAAGCCTTTTTTAATAACCTGATTGATTTTTCCTTGTTTTTAGATCCAAGGGGATTGGGTCTGGATCCACCAGGAGTTGGTAGGAGGGGGGATGGTTAATTTCTCCTTGTTTTAAGATCCAAGGGGTTTGGATCTGTATTCACCAGGGAATTGGTCTCTCAAGCCTACCCAGGGAAGGGAGTTAGCCCATTGGGAGTGGTGGCACTGGACCAGATCTAAGCTGGTAGTTGAGCTTAGAAGTTTTCATACAGGCCCCCACGTCTGTACCCTAAAGTTCAGAGTGGGGAAGGAGCCTTGACAGGCTGTCTCTCGCTCTGTGGCTGTGCAGCCTCTAGCCACTCCGTAATGATCTCTGTGTCAGGGATGAAAAGCCCGGGATGTTCTCCCAGAGCGACCGATTTAGCCACAGCCCCTTCCTTGCAGACGCTGCCTCTGGAATGACTGCGGAGGATTTACGCACCCGGGGCTGGAGGGAAAGGTAGAGGGGACTGCACAGCTGTGTGGCTCACAAGGATACCTGCTCTCAGTGGCAGCCTTGCCTCACCAGGCAACTGCCAGACTCTGAGAAGGCCCTGCAGCTGAGATCAGCCTGTCTGCTGGCGTTCCACCCGGCGTCGCGGCAAAGACCAGGTCCAGCCAGCCGCACAGCCCCAGACCAGAGAGCAGCTAACCCTGCAAGCCCCTGGACCGAGCGCCACGCCCCAGTGCAACTGCTACCAGATCACAATGGTAGTGCGGTCATTTCACACTGGTGCAACCATGGGCGCCGAGGCCAGGGGTGCTCTGGGGCTCAAGCACCCACAGAAAATACATAGAGGGTGCGCAGCACCCACCAGCCAGAGCTGTTTGGCAGAGCCACCGATCAGCTGTTTTGCGGCTGGCAGGTGGCACTTGGGAGAAGGCGGACAGCAGCGAACAATGGGCTGGCTGGGGGCTTCGGGGGCGGAGCTGGGGCAGGGTGGCGGGAGAGGGGCAGGAAGAGGCAGAGTGGGGACGGGGACTCAGGGTGGAGCGGGGATGGAGCACTCATGGGGAAAAATATAAGTCAGTGTTTGTGGGTGCAATTGACTGCACAGGCGCGGGGTAACAGGCCCCCCCAACCTCCCTATGATGCACAGCTGCTCATGCCTCCCCCCCGAGAGCTGGCTGCAAAGCCCTCAGTGAGGTGGGGCTCCTAACAGCTCCACATGCCCAGCAATTTGGAGGTTCTCAAAGAATATAGAGACGAGACAGCTGAGCTGTGCCCAGAGTGGAGCCAACAGGCGTTGGGGGCAGAGAGTCTGAATCGCTGCTTGGGGGAGCCTCCTCCCCCTGAGGATTTGCACTCCCCTCGGAGAGGCAACGTGGCCCAGTGGGTGGAGCGCTAGCCTGGCTCTTGGGACCCCGTCCAGGGGTTAGCTCCCAGCTCTGCCACAGACTGTCCTGGGTGAGTGTCTCAAGCCAGCAGTTCACCAGCTGGTACAGAACGTAGCTGACAGCTGTAACACCGAGCGAGGTCGGAGCAAGAGTTACATAAAAGCTGTGGATGAGTTTGAGACAGGCTCAACCCACCAGCTAAACACCCTCTCTGTCGGGGATCGCTATGGCAGGGGGCCAGGGCTGAGCCCCCCCGCACGTTTCTCCTGTGGGCCGTGGTACCAGTGCGGGAGCAGCACTATACTGACCCCTGCTGCAGGGGTTTCGTGGCGATGCGCAGACCTGCGGCCGTCACATGACTGTTGGAAGCAAAGGAAGGGAGCCGGGGACCACAGCCACGGTGGAAGGGGCTGAACTGCAAACCAGAGGCCACGTGCCAGCGGCTCCTGTTACTATTTCGGTGCCCTTCACTGCCCTGATTCTGAGCCAGGGTTCCACATCTCACCAGTTTTACAGAGACGCTAACGGGCAGCTTGTCCGCGGTCACCGCAGGGCAGGCAGAGCTGGGAGGAGAAGCCAAGCTTAGCTGCTCTGCCACACATCGTTCCCCTTTGCACAACAGCTGGGGCAAGGCCCTGCTTTCCTGCTGGAGGGGTTTCACATCACAGCATTGCGAGCTGATGGGACCTGGGATGGTGCACAAATGTTGGGTTTCCTGTTGCATGTTTAGTGGTTGTAGCCTGGCTCCTGGGGCTGTGTCTTGAAAAGCAGGGGTGGGGGCAGACAGTGTTTGCGGCTGAAAGCGCCGGGGTGGGGGGAGAACATGCAGGGAGGGACAGAAGTGGATTTAATACATGTAGCGCTCTCCCAGTCGACTGGTTGTGCCTGCAGGGGATGGGCTGCCTAAGGGCATTGCTGCCGGGCTGTGAGCGGTTCCCCTGGAGGGCACGACATTGAATGCAGCCCAGCTCAGCAGGGGGCCGACTGTTCCCAGCCCGGGGGCCAGCCCCCCACCACACGATTTCTCTTTTTAAAAAGTATCATGATGTGGGGGTCAGTGTCTGATGTCTGGGGCCTGACTTGGGGTTTAGACCTTGTGGGGCTGAAAGCGAGCCAGACCCAGGCTGGACCCATTAATCAGTCCCAGCAGCCCAGCCCGCCCTGCCTTTGGGGCTGCAAGCCCCACTCCCAGCCATGGGGTGTGCCGAATGGGGGAGCAGCCCTGGTGAGCGGCTGGAGGGGCAGCGCCCAGCATAGTGCCCCCCCCCGCCCGTCCCTCCTGCAGCACTAGCATAGCCACTCTGCACCCCCGTGGCTGGGGGGCAGAGCTAGGGGTGCATAGAATGAGCACTGGGCAGGGCCGGGCTGGGGGGATTCCCTACCGATGAGCCCCGGCTGCGGCTGTGCGTGGGGCGCTGGTGCCCCCTGCTGCCGACTCACTAGTCGTGCAAGCCCTGGCAGAACGCAGAGCCACTCCGGCTGGTCTCTCCACTGGGCAGTGACGCCCTACGTGGCCCTGGCTGGCTCAGCGCCGCATGGAGCGCAGGAGAGGCAATGGATTTCCAAACTGTTCACAGCAGCCCAGGCATGGGGACTGTCAGGAAGGGAGTAACAGACTCCAGCCCTGCCCCCAGACGTTTGCCGTCCCCCGGCCGGGCCTGGAGCCCCAGGGAGGTGGCTTACAGAATCGCCTCCTTTTCTCCTGCCAGTCTCCTCATCTTGCCCAGGCCTGGATGCTGCCAGCTCTGCCCTAGGCCAGCCCAGGCTGCCATCTCAGAGGTGCCTCTGGGTAGGGTGGCTCTGCTCAGCGTGGTCCGTGGCGTCGGAGGAAGGTGTCTGCAGCTGGGGCAAGAGATGCTCCAAGGAAGGAATCCACCTCACTCAGTGGCCAGGGCCAGCAGCAAGAGGCCAGGGACATGCTCCCAGCTGCAGGCCAGATGTCCCGCTGTCCCTCGCTGGGGCCCGGCCTGTGGATGGCAGCACCTGGCCACGGTTCCCAGTGCAGCTCCCCAGGCCATGCAGACCTCACAAGGCTCCCACACCTTCCCCTTGCTTGCCCCCAGCCTCCGGGAGAGTGGGGCCAGGACGGCAGAGGGGGACCAGCCCTAGGGGACAAGGTGGAGCAGGAGCATGTGGACAGTGAGGGGGCAAGTGCCGAAGGATGAGGGCAGCTGGGGGAGCCCGAGCGTCTGGCAGTGTGAGGGAGTGGGGGTGGGGTGTACAGAGGAGCAGGAGAGGGGCCTGGGGGTACCCGAGGGGAGACATGGGGGGCCAGTGAGAGTCCCTAGGGAGCAGCAGAGGAGGCTGAGTCTCCAGGCCCCAGACAAGCCCAGCCTTTGAGTTCCCTGGCCAGGCATGAGCCCCAGTGGGGGCCAAGTAGGCTGGCCCCCGGGCATTTCCACCAACTGTCGGGGAAGCGATGCCAGCAAATGGCTCCAGCCAGCCGCAGTGTGTGGAGGGGGAAGGCCCTGGGTTCATGGCCAGAGGTTCACGGAAGACCAGGGAATATTACATCCCCTGCCCCCCACCGGAGAGTTCCACAGGGTAACACAGCCCCCCAGAAACTCCCCCACTAATGCAGCCTCCCAGACACTCCCCAACCCAAGAGCTCCAGAGGGTAACACAGCCCCCCAGAGACACGCCTGCTAACACAGCCCCCCAGACTTCCCACTAACAAAGTGCCCAGAGACTCCTGCCACTAATGCAGCCGTCCAGCACCACCTCCTCCGCTAACACAGCCTCACCCCCACAGAGAGCCTTGTAGGCAAACAGCCCCCCGTGCACCTCCCAGACTACGACAGGGCCCCATGGGTGAACCCAATCTCCCCCAAACTTCCTGCAGTGTCCCACAAGGTCCCATAGCACTCACAGGCCTGCAGAGCACCCAGGAAATTCTTCTGCACTCCACTGCTGCCTTGCAGAGCTGGAGTTCCAGGTGTCCTGACCTTCCCCAGCATCCCTCCCTTCCAGCCCCCAGGCTACTGAGGAAGGGCAGCCTGGCCTGGTGCTGCAGCCTCAGCGCTCCGGGACCAGGGCTGGAGGAGGGTCCGTGGGGCAGGCCGCGGCTTTGCTCACCTTTGCCTGCGTGACGCTTTCCTGAGCTGCTGGTGCTGGGCGCTCTGCTAGGGCTGGTGGAGTATGCCGGGAGGCTGGGTGACAGCACAGGGGTGCTGTGCGCCTGCTGCAGCTCTGGGAGAGAAGGAGAGGAGGGGTGAGCAGTGGGACAGTGGTGGGGGATAACCAGAGCTGCCCCTCTGAGGCCAGACCTGCTCTCAGCTGGAGCTGTGCAGACGGGGGTGAGCCCACTGAAGCCAGTGGTGGTGCCTGGAATCTGGCCCGCGACAGTGGCTGCTGCATTGGACTTGTCACCAAGCATGGAGGAGCCTGTGAGGAGGTTTTGGGCCCAGTCCCCATCCGACTTCACTCTGTGACCGAGCCTGGGAATCCCCCTGCGCAGTCCCCCCGGCCTGCCCTGCTCTGCCCCCAGCACCGCTGGGACGGGGTGGTGGACGCTGTGCCACAGCTATTCGCTTCCTAGGGCCCCCAGGCTGCCCCGGCTTGGGGTACAGCCACACTGTGGAGACTACACCAGCACAGCTATCCCGGCACAGCCGTGTCCCGTAGATGCAGCCAACGTTGGCAGAAGAGAACATTAGCTATGCCTGCAACACTGCCAGGCCAGGTGCCAGCTCACGCCAAGGCCCCCCGGCCTCCCTGACAAATGCCCAGCTGGAAATCAGCCTGGCTCACCACTGTGTTAGCATTGTTACAACGGATGTTAGAGCTATAATGTGTTCGGTGTTGGGACTTTATGACATGCTTGTGAGTTGCTGCATGTGTCCATCTCACATATAACATCTGTATCCCATGTTACAGGGCAACATTTACGTATTTTCTCTGTAACTAGAGAAGCGTTTGCTATGAACCTGCAAAGCCCCGAGTCATGAGGAAGCACGGCCAGGTGTGAAATACTCGTTCACCACAAGAGGCGTTATCTGCTGCCCACACAAAAGGTCTACAGACACCAGACAAGCCATTGTGGGACATCAGTGCACGAAAGACTTCGCTGATTGCTCCCCTCATACCCCTGAAGAGTAGACGTGCTCGTCCCATCCCTTCGAACTCTGGGGGAAGGGAATAAAAATGCCTGGCCAGAAGGAACTTTATCTCTATGCTGCTTGAACTGTGCGGGGCAAAGACTTCTAAAGGTACGCAAGAGCGAGGCCACATAGAGCTTGCTGATTACAGAAACTTCTGTTACCTTTTAGAACCTAAGACTGTAACTCATTTGTGTGTGTGTTTACTGCTTTAGCCCTGTCCTTAACTCTCATTTCTTTTTCTTCTCCAATAAATCTTTTTTATTAGTTTATTAGTTAGTTTATTATAGTATTGGCTACAGCTGTTGTCTTGGGTTTGAGATCTGAGGTGTCATTGACCTGGGGTAAGTGACTTGTCCTTTGTGACTGGAGATAACCTGAGTGTTGTGGTTTTTGGTGTAAGGGACCATCTATCACAAAAGCAAGATGGACTGGAGTGCCCAAGGGGACTGTCTGTGACTCCATGGTTAGGCTGTTACAGTGTTGGAGGAGTTCACACTTGTCACTGGGTTGGTGAATTCTAACTGTGAAACACAGCACCCGTTTGGGGTTTGTGCCCTGGTTTGTGCCAATCTGCCCTGGGTTGGCACTCATGGTTGTGAGCCACTCCAGACAGCTTGATAACGTCAATGGAAGCCCTTTTCTGTCAGCATAGCTGTGTCTTCTCCGGGAATTAGGTGGGCAGAGCTACCCCGGTCAGGGTGTGGTTGGTTCACACACCTGACTGACGTAGCTATGCCGATATAACTTTCAAGCCTATGAGTCTGTCTACACTGCAGCTGCAGGTGTGTTTGCAGAAAGGGCAGATCTAGCTAGATCAAAGCAAGGTCAGGTAACAGCAGCAGTGAAGCCATTGCAGCATGGGGGTGGTACAGGCTAGCCCTGCCCACCCAGGACCCCAGGTACACTCTCTGCTGGTGCTGCCGCAACTTCGCTGCTGCTGCTCCCCAAGGTAGCTTCGATCTAGCTAGATCTGCCCGTACTGCAATCGCAGACATCCCCTTACACGGGTGCTGAGCAAGGCCCTGACTGGCCCCAGAGTACAGGGAAGGGCCATGCGGATTCCTAGAGTCATGGATTCGAAGACCAGAAGGGATCATTGCGATTGTCTAGTAGCTTGGCCAGAGTAGAGATCACTGAACGTGTTTGCGACTCCATGATGAGCCAAATCTGGCGTTTGACAGGGTAGGATGCCAGTGAGGGACAGGTGTCTGTCAACAGCATCCAGCCATCGTGTTGTAGGTCCTCCAGGGCGTCCTTTCCGTCCAGCTCCAAATCAAAGGTGATTTTTGCAGGGAAGCTGGTAGGCATTCGGAGCAGATAACCGTGTCCTCTTAGAGCGCTGGGCGACTGTTTGAGAGAGCGGGACCTGTGTAGCTAGAAAATGGGTCTCTTCATTCAACTTGAGTTTGAACCATTTGATATTTTTGATATTCAGAAATGCTTCATCTGACTGGTGTCCAGCTTCTTTTCAGTCTTGTTTCAGTCCGTGTTTTGTGCATTGCTTGATTACAAATGTTATTTAGCTTACAACACGTGACCATATCACCTCCCAAATGAGCCATGCCACACTGTTCAAACACGGCTAAGGTGTTAATGGAGATCCAGGGCTTCTTAGCCATTTTGGGGATCAAGGATAGTCATAGCAATCAGGGCTGGCTCCAGGCACCAGCCCTCCAAGCATGTGCTTGGGGCGGCACCTGGAGGGGGGCGGCGCTCACCCGGGGAGAGCGAGGCCGCGGCCGGGCTCGCCGCCCTCCCCCGGTGCTCCGGCCGGCCGGGAAGAGCGGGGCCGCCCTCCCCCGGCGCTCCGGCCGGTCGGGGAGAGCAGGGCCCCAGCCGGGCTCTCCGC